ACTAGCTTTTACCCGCGGCTTCGCTCGCGTCACAAAATAATAAAAAGTAGCCTATGTGACATATACCAATACACACAGCGCCATCTATACCAATACTTTTGTTTTTCCTCGGGAATATCAATTTTTTCTATTATTTAATCCGGACTTCTAACTTTACGTCTGCAAAAATTCAAGGCAATCGGTTGAGTAGTTACGGCTTGAAGGTGGAACAAACAAACAAACTCACTTTCAGATTTATAATATTAGTAAGGATAAGGATATATTTTTTTATCTTTGATCATCGAATTTCTATAATGGCGGCAACTACGATATGTATTTAGGTTTAAAAAAAATCTAAATTATAAAAATAAAGATTTTGGACAAGTTTTATAGTTGACTGTTTAACATTCCGATGTGAAACCCATAATCTCCTGGATTAAAACTTTAAAAATAAACTATTGTACAGATAACGACAACTAAGGGACCATGACAGACATAACATCAGTATCCCTAGGTGAGGGAAAAGCAGAACACCATTTTAAAACAACACTCACAGACCATACATCTCATATTACAGCCAAGTCAACAAATACGTTTTTGTGCAACTCTTTTCAGCAATCTGATAATCCATTCGATTTAAAATGAGACTGACAAACAGAATTTGAGACTGCTGGCGAATTAACGTAATGAGAAAACAACTTTACCATGCATTACGCTTTGTTTGTGAGAAATACTTAATGTCTAGGTTTCAGTAATAGTTTATGACGTCACATATACCATATACAAACATAAACATACAGTAATTAGAATTTTATCATTATACAATTTGTAATATACTGTGCCATGACAGATCACGCTAAAGAACATCTTTCGATAATTACTGGAACCCGGTTTAAAATGCAGTTGCATACTTGAATATTCATAAATAGTCTTAAAAGCCACGTCGCCGGTCCTAGACTACTGCCAGCTTGGCTTTCATAAGAGGCTAATAACTATACAGAAATGAATGTAAGGGACGAGTGCCGAATAAAAACAAGCGGTTGGGCGATTGAGAGTCCTGATGGACGAAACGGTGTCCTTAGTCAGCTCTACGAGGGGATCATGTCTGTCGTCATGTATGGTTCCCCGATTCAGAGTTTATACAAGAGTGATATGATTGATAGTAGTGTTTGTTCGATCGGGCTGTAGTTGCTTTAGGGATCAATGATTAGATTTTCTCTAAAAACATCACAACAATGGTGTCGAACAGCTATAATGTACAGACAAAGCTTGAGTAATAATAACAGTAAGTTTTGCTATATTTGCCTTGTGTAACAAGAGTAGGTCCAATTGTTCATTTCATTGAAATGCATTCCTAAACTTTGAACTTTTTAATTTCCTATATATAAGTTGAGTGCACAAAATGTCATATTAGGTGTGACCTCCACAACGCGTTGTGATCAATACATATTCCGTCACCTCGATTGTCCTCAATAGCCATAAATTGATCGCTAACAGTCTACGTACCTGTTGACGCTGGAAACTCAAAACGCGCGCGATGAAGTGCATTAACCTTATGAGTGAGTGTACTGCCGAGTTAAGTCACTGTTGTCCAAATCTTTCATAGTACGACAATATTTCAAAGAAAATATATCTCAAAGAAATAACTAAATTGTCTATTTACTTGTAATGCAAAAAAAATGAAAAACATTAACACAATGTGTTTTATATCGTTTATATTTTAAATAGAAAATATTGGTAATTGATATGGGTCATCCCCATTAAGAATGGAGAATGTCATTAAGATTTCAAATGCAAGAGTCTAGTTTCACAAACCAATAAGTCCCAAGGAGTTCTACTATCAAATGCCAATATATTGTCGACCAATAATGGCTATGTTTTGTCATCAATTTCTACAACATAAATTCCTGCGAAGATCATTGATCTAAATACAGTGGTCATTACTGCATAGAGATGGCATATTCGAAATAATACGAAAAGAAAAAAGCACTGTTACGGCTTCATTAATAATGTACAATAACTCAGTGTTATACTAAATGTAAAAAATAATAGAAATGACCCTTTATCCGACTCAAATATTATCACTAATTTAATCAAATATAATTATAATAATGTAGAACTGTTTCGGTATTCCTGCAATTTAAGCATAAGCCAATGACAATATCTTTCCAAAAAAGTCTTGTAAAATTATGTTTAAAAGATAAATAAAAAATACTAACACACATTTTCATGTCGCAGCTGTTTCTTAAATTGCATGAACAAATTCACATTGTGTTAATGTTTAATGACGTTACACTTCACTTTATATTCTTGTGATTGTGGTCTACATAGAATGCAAAATTAAATAGTACTTAAAAAGCGCTTTAAGCATTTTAAGGAATCATGAAAGTGATATCTTCTACTACTTATTATATATACTAAAATACAGGTGTTATTTTTATCAGGGGCCTTAGTGACTAAGGAGCTATGCCAAAATACTGTTATGATAATATATTGTGCACACTTAATTAAATGTTATTGACAACATAGTTTAATTTCTTTATTGATTATTTTATTTACTATTTACAAAGTACCTGATGCGATTAACTGGACATGTTATATGGCTAGTAAATTGGGGTTCATTGGGGTTCCATGTTATGAAAAATAAGGAGCATGAATTAAATTGTTATGTTATGCGCAATATGCAATGCAATGTCCGGTTAACTGCTAATATGACAAAAATCCATTAACAATACGTTTTGAGTATAAGAATCCCTCAAGAAACATTCAGCATAAGCTGGTCGACTATTATATATGTGAACGATTGTATTAAAGTTTTAGTTAATTACTACAGCGGATTATTGCATGATAATTTAATAATCTTTGTAATATTTTCCTTGATTCCAATATCCATGACTTAATTCTATGAGTATGTTGTATTAAGAAATTTGAATGTCATTCATGATTCCTTTACGTGCTGAATAAAAATAGTATGAACATTATAGAAATATAACATGTCAATGGTGAAAAATCTCTTTAGTATGACATTAAAGTACTTCTTTTACTTAGCAAATAGTACCAAAACTCATGTTATATTTCCATTCAATATGCCTTAACTACTCCATAGGAAAAAAGCGTAAGTAGTTTTAATGAAACAAGTAATAACTGCATTACAGACTATAGACATTTATTTTCTAATTGATTTACATCTTTCTACTATAAAAATCTATGTCTAAAGTCTGAAGCAGAGTACGACACGAACACTAGTTTTGAAAAGGTATGATTTGAATAAGATTTGAAAACATTTGAATAGACAACATCACAATAAAAAGCAAATGACTTCAAAATCATTAACCGTTCCTGTGCTCACTAGATGGCTTTAATCAAACAGGTTTAATTCTCCAATCACTATCACTTTTTTATGCTAAAAGCCGGTAAATGAGGAGAAGGATCGCCACGGTAAGTAGCAATAGGCGCTGCCCATTGACATCCGAAACACCAAACTGCGTTATCGGCTGTTTAAAGATTTTGGGGCGTTGCGGGGATAGGGGAAATTTAGGAGGGTGCTAATTGGGCCTCCAGTAATCTCAATTATACGGCGAAACACAAAGCAAGCGTTGTTTCAGTACCGAATTTACGACCAATAGCAGACTTCAGCAAATAGTGTATTGGACATAAGATCTTGCGCCATACTAGCGACCCTGACGGAAAACACAGGCATGGTAGCCATTCCACATTTATATATATCCCTTCAAAACTAGTATTATACATAAAATTAAGCACACTGGGGACTGTTCTTCGTTATTTATAATGAAAACGGCATCATTATGCAGTTAGTACATTTAAACGTCATCCACATAGTGCCAATGAATGAATTAGGGAAAGGATTTTGCTATGAGACACAACATTGATTATACATCATTCTATACTAGGTTAACTCAAATGAAAAAAAAAACTAAAACATTTTAAAAATACGTGCTTAAGGTATATCTGTTGAGTACAGCTGTACTAGACAAATGCATAATCAAGAGTTTGTTCGCAATCAATCTACTGAGCCTATTCAATTGATAAATATCTAAATTGTATAAAAATTATGCTCATACAATGTGTAAGGGAAGTCTAAGTAACATAATTTTGTTGTTGTTATTGTAAATGTACTAGCATCGAATAAACACGTAGAGTAGTGAACCTAATATATTAATTTACTCTTTTGACTCTTCGAACTGCCTCGTTGGCCAAGTGGTCGAAAGCGCGACTGCCAGGCAAGGGTTTTAAAAAAAAACTCAGTAGTAGTACGGAGTCTGGAATTGTGCCCGGTATATAACAATAGGCTCACCCCTATTACATAGGACTTATAATATAAATAGTAAAAATTGGGTGTTGTATATACATTGTACAATGGCATTAAGTGCCGTAATGTGGTGTAATGTTATGTTAAATCTTTGAAAATAACCATTACCACAGTTCCATATATAATTAATTATGTATAGATTATCGAGTTTCATTTTTATTATTACTTATATAGATATCGAGTCATTGAGTGTCCACTAAATAAAAAGGCTAACCTAATATGGTAATGGACTTTTTGGTTTTTCATGTAATAATCAGTCGGGTAAAAATGAGTGGCCCTTCTGTTCATACAAAAAGCATCTCTTTTATCTGTGTGGTAAGCCTATCATTCTCATGAAATTATTTAAATGGTTACGTAAGGACATTTATCGGCATGTGTAGTATACATTCATTTTAAAAACATGTTTTATTCATGGTGAAATACGGATAAAGAGTATGAATAATGGAACACGACCTTGAAACACCCCAATGCCGTGAATATACTGTAGCTGTCGAAAGAGTGCGTATTATTATTGTTATCATTTAAATTTAAAGGATCAAGTTACGTTGGCCATTGAATGTTTAATAAAGCGCAAACCCTTATTTTTGAGTGCAAAGGTTTTTTAGACAGATCGAGAGTGAAACGTTAGACTTCGCTTACACGTTGTTTGATGCAAATGTTTAAAATATCTTAAATGAGTTGAGGAACATACCTGTTGCTGCCAGAAATAGATCGGGAGGTTGTTGACCCGAGCTTCAGAGCGGTTACGCGGCTGTTGCATCCACATCATATCACCAGATGAGGTCGGGCCCTGGCTCCAAAGCGAATCCACCTAAAATACAAAATTGTTAATACTTCTCGAACTTTCTTATGACAAATTAATAATGTTAACTCGTGAGTCCTTCACCAAATTATTAAATTTAGAATTTGACAATCGTCAAAAAGTACTTTTTGGTCATTATTAAACAATTTGGGAGAAATATAATTAAACAAGAAAAAAGTTATTTTTCTGGGCTTCTCGCTAATACTTTTCAAGTACTAAATCAATACTTGAACAAAAGTACCTAGGGCCAATGGCAGTCCATTGGCCCTAGACATCTTACATTGTTGTTGACTAGGTATAACGAAGAAGCTTCGAAGCTTCTGACTAGGTATAACGACTAACATGTTTGTCATACATCCAGACTTTAAGAAAAAAGAAGAGCAAAACAATGTTTATCATAATTATCCGACACTGCTCAAAAACAGTTGTAAAAAAACACTTATTTAACTCAACAAGACAACAACACTCAATAATAGAAAATAACCAAGACGAAGAAGAACAAAATAATAAAAATTGTAAATTCCTAGTAAATATTAGTTAAACAAAATAATGCCTAATTTCACGTGTCGTATCGCCATAATTAAAGGACAACTCCATAATATTAGACTATATTTTTAGCTGTATTGTTTGAACCAGACCCTGAATATTCGGAAAATTAAGGTAACTTTAAATTCCGGTATACCGTCATATCGATAAATAAAGGGTACCGCTTTATTTCGGTACCTTAACCTTAATAATAAAGGTATGATATACGTATTTACTACGCTAATTCATCTATCTTATTTATCTCTCCTCACAGGCACACAGGCGCGCATTTACCGGTTACCGCTGCTTCACACCCAAATAATAATAAAAAATATATATATATATGGTCGCACCACACTCAAATCGTAAGTTTTTCGGTACCGATATAACATAAAGCTTAAATAAAGGTAAACCGGTATTGATTTAATTTCGGTATAATTAGTGCGTGTATATATTAAATGCGTGTTTATCTGAAAGGTATCCTTTAGACTGATTCAATTCCCATGAATTGAATTTATCAGTTAATAATTGGTCCTGTAAACGAATCATAATATAAATCCTATTTTACATTGATATCACGACAGATAATATCTAGCCGAGAAGACAGTCCAAAGAAATTTATGCAAAACCGCAACCCAATAATTGTTACAAAAAAAGAAAATAACAAAAAGGAATGAAATAAAAATATATTCCCTAATTTTAGGAATTTATTTTATTATTACCATTTGCGGTTGGGCATAATTTTGGCTTGCCAATAGTCCCACAGATCCAAATTGCAAATCCATGGGAGCGCTATCGGGTAAATTCATAGAACCCATATTCATGACCTAGAAATCAAGAAATCCTTATTACAACAAGGTATTCGTAACTTTCACTACGAGTTTCACTACCTACGACTACGAGTGGTTTACTACTATAACTACTACTACAACTACTGTTTTCAATCTACGTGTCAATATGAAATGTAATTAATTTCTGTACAAAGGTACTCACGTCTAGACCCAGTGACTGCGAGTTCAACAGATTGTCGTGTGAACCTTGTGGACTATCGAATCCACTGGACATTGGGAACTGTGACATCACATCCTGCAAATTAAAAAGAAATTATAATTAGGACAAACTTATTTACTTTTGATAAAAGGTACAATATGTTTTGATAAAGGGTACAATATTTTTTATATAAAACATGACATATATAATTATGTATCTCACTATTTATAAAAATAGCCTATGTTAACACATTGCATAATCTAATATGCCTGTTCCAAAATTCACCCCGATCCCTTCAGCGGTTTGTGCGTGATTAAGTAAGAAACAGGGATGTTATGAATATGAAATTTCGCATACGGTTTGGATACAGATATAGAAAAGATTATTATACTGGATACGGATACGGATATGAAATTATTTTGGATTATCCGTTAGATTCGGTTAATTTCGGTTACGGATATTAAAATTTTAAGGAATTTCAAAAGTAAAATACTAATAGCTAATATTAATGGTTTTATTTATACGTCACGCCCCTATCTGATAGTACCCGAAACTTCTATTTCGGATTCAGTTACGGTTACGGATATTTTTTTTATATTGGATATCCGATAGTTTCGGTTACGGAGCTCCCTAACATCCCTGGTACACACAAATTAAATACTACTGGACCTATTTTAAAAATTCTTTCACCATTCGAAAACTACTTCATGTACGAGTAACATAAGCTATATTTTATTTTAGAAAAAAATAGGTATCCATAAGTTTTTTGGGTTTTTCGGACACAAGGTGTTTTTATCCATCCACCAGAAATGGTATATTATGGCAATAGTACCATGGTATATTATAGGCTCACCACCTATTACATGGGACTCAGAAAATAAATAGTGAAAAGCGGGTGTTACATTGTACAGTGGCATTAATTGCCGTTATGTGCACCTCTACTACTACCTACTTATAATGATAAAAGGCTTGATGTTATGTTATCTGGTGGCATAATGTCGTCATGTTGTGTTGTGATATTATGATAGAATTAAGTAACTACTTACCATCTGAGTAAATGGTACGACTGGCCCATAGGTACCCAATGGTCTCATCATAGTTTCGCAAGCCCGGCGCACCATCAGGCTGGGACTGAAGAAGCCAGCTTTGTACCAGCTATACATATCTTTAGGAGAAAATGGACCCTGAATGTTCCTCTGAAAACACAAGCATAACACATTTAACATTATGATTGGCTCATTCATAGAGTGGTCAATTGTATAATGTTTGAACTTACCTCAGGATCCTCATAATACCATTGGTCCATTAAGCTGGTACCGGGCAATGGATTGTTGGCATAAATAGAATTGTCGAACGGATTCTGGGATCCCTGCATACCCAAATTCATCATCATATTATTATTTTGACTCGAATGATTGGAGATTGGCATGTCACTCGCTGCAGACATCTGTAACATTATTAAATGCCCATTATTATTCAAACTTTACTCATATAAAATGTCTCATATGTAAATAACAGAAACTAACAGAATGACCTAATAGATGACTTACCGATGTGTTATTAGAATTTTGTGACAAGAATAAAGATGAATTTCCATTATTAGAAATACTGCCCATGCCACCGCCGGATGGGAACCCAGGCATGTTCCCTCCACCCTGCATTGATGATGATCCAAGTACACCCATGCCAGGTGACCCCAGAGTAGAATTATTTTGTATAACTTGCTGTGGCATGCCTTGATAAGGTTGTCCAATATTCGGGGTAATGGGTAGACCCAATGAGGCATTCAGCGCAGAGTTGGTTATGCCCACGTTTTGCATAACTGGCTGCATTGCAGGTGTTTGTACACGAGGTGCTTGCATACCTGGCATGTTCTGCATACCACTTGGGGACATTCCCGACAAATTTTGCATGGGGCCTGAGGGCATTCCTGGCATATTTTGTAAGGGTGGATATCCGGCATTCTGCATAGCCACAGGCATCCCACCCATGTGTAAACCTCCCTGCATGCCTGATGGCATCCCTGGCTGCATACCACTCGCATTCATTACCACAGGTGGCATTCCGGCCGCATGGTGCACTGGTGGTGATTGTAAATTCTGGCTATTCAGATGCATGTCCATACTCATGCCATGATTAGGCATAGCAGTATTTGACATACCCATTGGCATATTTTGATTTTGTGGTATTGACGATGACATACTGGAATTGGAAAATGGGTTTGACGTTTGTGTGGAATGCATTTCTTTATCATCAAGTGTCATGCCAAATATGTTGTCCACAAGCAATTCTTCAGCAGACTTGAGATCCCTGAAAAGTAAACATCATTATAATAAAAATTACATATAAAACTGATTATTTATTAATTAAGATACTTTTACTGTCCTTTCGAAACAATTATATCGAAATTTTAGAATTATCTCTTTCTAGTTCCAACTTTGAATTTAAGGGAGGTACTCACATGTCTTGGTTAGATTGTAATGATCCTTTCATGTTGTGCATTGTTCCTGGGCCTTCCTTCATAGAGGGCACAAGATGTTGATGTTTCTGACGCAGACTGTTGTTGGCATTTATGAGGACAGATTGGAAGTTGCCCCGCTCGTCACTTGCTTCTTCTAAATCAATATCAGACCTCATGAGTGCGTCAAACGTTTTGCTCTCTGTAAATTTATCAGATGAGAATGCGTTATCGTCTGCATATTGGTTTTCACCTTGGCTTGCGTTGCTGGCCTCTCCTTCTTCCTCCTCTTCATCTGGCTCAGCTTCCAACTTTTCTGGTATCTCCTGGAGGTCATCATTCGCATATGACTTGTTAGTTCCACTGGCATTAGAACCATCGGCTGTTCCAGTACCAGCCTGCTGTAAAATCATATAAGGTTTGAAAATCCAGTTGACTGTGATGATGAAATATTCACGAAAATAATATTTCATTTAGTATACATAAATAACCTTTTTATTAAATTTGAGATCGCTCGCGTCGAAACGTTTTGGTGACAATTTTTTAGCCTTTTCTGAAGCCCACCATTCCTCTGAACCTTCTAATATTTTCGATCTTGTTACACCACCGTGCGTGTGAGACCTGGTTAGTGCTGAAACATTTTCACAAATTATAGTTAATCTTAAGTAAATTATTTTTAAACTTGTAATTGCATCTTTTTAACTAAATTCACTTACGATATGGAGAATCTTGATGTTTAGGCAGGTTGCTGTCATCATTACTGTAACCATGGAAGGCTCCCGATGCATCAAACGTACCTCCACACTCCGCATTCTCAACGGCCCTAGTAACCAACGTAATATTTATCAGAGCTCTACTCATAAAATAAGAGTCTATATAGATAGATAGAAAATATACTATTGAATAATCTTAATCTTACCATTCTGGCAAATTTTCTTCATTATTTTGGGAATCTCCAGCGACCCACGTGCGCCTATTGTTCCAAGGCTGAGATTTGTCGTTGGAGGGTCTGTCACCCCAGTCCCTATCTGTAAAACAAATAAATCATGTTAAACAAACTTTTTACTCACCATGAAATAATTTTGCGGTCTATGGTCATTTTACTGTACTTACCCCATTTCTCAAGTTGGCGAGATCTACCCGGCTCCGGGGACCGCCATTCTTCTCCGTCATCTCGGCTGGTTGATTGCGTCTGTCGCCAATTGGTGTTATTGCCTGGCCTTTTGCTAAAACACAATAAAAAACTATTATTGAAACTTACGATGATATCATTAGTCACAATTATTTCTTTTTCTGTTAGTTATTTACTTTTCAGTGGTAATGTTAATATGATAAAATTACATTACATAATGATTTTGATATACCTATGACAGGTAAAAATATTAATATTATCTTAAATAGATAATAAAACAACATACTTCCTGTATACTTTAGGACTCCAGTCCGTTGTTTGATCGCCACTATTTCTGTTGCTGACGTTAAGGCTGTTATTAACCCAGGGACGAGTACTGGGACCAACGTCTTCATCCACGCCGACATTAAAGAGAGGCATCCTCGGATTGAGATGCCACATACCTCCTCCCCTGGAACAAACAAACACATCATTACATTAAATTTCGAACTTTTGCGATAATTCGATATCCAATAGTGTTGGAATTGATTTAAAACATTAACTATGTGTCGGTTTTTAATGAGATATATGAAACAATGATTCTTCTGAACAGTATGCTCTGGATGTCGTACTAAAGTTGCAGGAAGCAATGTAAGGTAAAATCTGTAGAAATAAGGAGTGGACTAATATATATGTCGTCAGTTACTGCGTAACTACACCCAGTTGAACAAATTAATTAGTTTAATAAGTAAACAAGGTATTAAATTACCTTCCCAAAGATGGATGACGTATGTACGAACCGCGGGGCCTGCCGCGTCCGTCACTCATCAGACCTCGACCACGTCCAATTAAAAATCTGTCTCCAGATAGGGATGGATGCCCAATGGGAGGAGCACTCCGCATGTTATCCCTCTGTAATAAATGAAAATACATGAAATATCATGACAAATACACTACTATCATGAAATTCTTAATGATATTACTTTGTGCAAGTTCTTGTTACTCACGACATCATCTTCAAATGTGTTGTTAAGTGCTGCCGGTTGTTTCCCACGCGGTTGGTACAAGGTTTCAATACCCTTCAACTCTGGTGGTGCCTCTGCATTTCTATCATATAGAGCTAGCATTTCCTCCCGACCATACCTGTGTAATTATAAGCATTTGTTTAAATACAGATAGCAATAGAAACTACTGCACTGAATTTGTCACTTGTTTGTACCTACCTAAGTTTGGCAAGGAGGACTTTTGAAGGTGTTGTAGAATTTGGAGATGACGAGGCTGCAGAAGATAGAGCATTAGCTGATGTGGCTCCCACCGGTCCTCCGGGAGAGCCAGCCATTTGTGAAGTGCCTGAACTAGGATTCACGTTATGGTTGTTGTTAGATCGAGCGCTACGCTCTCTGGAGAGGTTGCGTAGCCATTCGGGACCAAACTTTATGGGATTGTTTCGGTCACCCATTATACACGACTATGAAGAAACCTCTTAGGTCGATTGAAATACCTGCAGCTCAGGAACAGCTGAAACAAAAACTAAACTTCAATATCAAGAATTCAAAAACAGTTTAATAGTAATGTAATATTAATAACACTGCCACCGACCAGCACGTTAAGCGCATTATGAAAATATCGATTTCACTTAAGTGGAATACAATAACTTATGCAGTAAGACAAGAGTTATAACTTAAAATAATTTTCACCAAAGATGATACGCAAGTGTTTACACAAGGGTTTATTTAAAGCATAATAGAGTTCAGGGACATGGCACAAAAGGAAAACTCGCAAATGCGCAAAAGGCACATAAGTACTCTTATTTAATATTATCTTCGCCATTTTAGTTTAATAACTATCGAGAGTGAGATATACTATAATTTAGTATACAAAACACTGCTCACTCTCGTAAAACATAAAAGTAACGGTATTGGGCTCATTACAATCTGCGCCACATAATTAATTACATATTTTAATTAATCACCGCCAATTAATATTAAGCACCAAACCAACTTCATATAAAACAACTTCACACTACATGAACGGATTACCAGTCTTATTATACTCAAATATTTAAAATATTGAGTAATTGCGAAATCTTTCTAACAAGTAAAAAACTAAGTATTTTTTTTACTATTGTTCTCAAACTCACATTGATAATTAGTTTTATTTTAACTAGATTGGAGATAATTCTAATGAGGGCACATAACCCACTGACTTGCCCTACTTAAGTTTCATTTTTAAACCAAACTATTGTTTACTAACAGTGATTATGCATAATTCATATTTGTTATGAAAGAATAATGATATAGGTTTTACTTATCCATGCATTACAAAGATGTAAAGTAACTGTGCAATTCGGAAATTCGATCTGAATCACTGCTACAGAGCAATCGAGTTCAATAAAAAAATATATCACAAAAGAAAATTACAATACTGGCCCGCCAATTGTAATTGTAAATGTGTGAGCCCGACAGTCCAAGAATGTAATATTTATTCAAGTTCATTGGAAAGAATTTACACATCAGACAGATAAATTACTTATGCAATTGGAAACTGGAGGCTGAAATATGTAACACAATAATTTCAGATGTTATAAATGTACTATCTACCTACTTACAATTCTTGTTTAAGACTGTGGTCTGCTTATAATTTTAAACTGTCTAACACAAAGCGGTCACCGGTGACCACAATCTATTATTCTTTGTGTCTATAATGACGGTATTCAAAGAGTTAAACTTGAGAGCACCGACATTATTAAAGCTTTTACCTTTTTGGAAAGTTAGCCTATAGCCCTGTGCAGTTAAATTAAATCAAAACTAATTTGTAGGTACAGTTTTCCTAGTGCGGGGGTCATTAAACATATTTACCTACTTAATATGTGTAAAAATACTTATAATTTCTTTTATTTGCTATTTAATCTAATATCTATACGCAAAGCTCCTATTCTCATTCATTCCCAAACTAGGAAACAAAACAAAACCAAAAGAAATGGTTCGCAAGCAGAGAAGATATTTTTATTGAAAACTTGTTTATTTATGTGCTTTTGAAAACTATGTTAATTAGCACTTTCTATAGTTTTTTTTATGGGATAAGACACAAATCAGTATATGTATCACTTGTTGGTAAGTAATCCACCTTATCCGCTTGAATGCACCGATATGAGACACAATAGAAAATACATTGTGTCTTGTGTGGATCCACGTTTAGACACACGACGGGTTATTCAAGAATATTTGTGTTTTATATTTGACGTGCCGTCGTTTCGCCACTAACGTCCAATTTCAATAACCTATCTATCTGTAGATTTGCTTACTAAAGATAGAATTTTGACATGAGCTCCATACAAAATGTGTCAAAATTCTATCTCTAGTAAGCAAATGTACAGATAGATAGGTTATTGAAACTGGCTGTAACTTGCCTGGCGGTAAGCGTATCTAATATTAATTGTGCCCATCCTTTCCTTTAAAACACTTATTCATGCAATTGCTTAGAAAAGTCGAAATTGGTCCCAAGTTTAGGCCGCCAGCAAACATGTTACTACTTGAATTATTTCACAACTGTTAGTAAACTATTAGTAAGACAAAGAAAAATCGCAGAAACTTAAGATAAAAGTCACATTAATACTTGTGTTAAGTCCAATTTTTTATTTATTTAAATCACTTTTTAATAAATGCTGTCAGAATTCCATGAAAAACACTATAAATATTACACTAAATTTGGTTTTTTTAAATTACGAAATTAATTTATTGTGTATCAACTATTTATTACTCATGAAGACAATTCTAGAATCCAGAAATAAGCCAATTACGAAAGATATTTCAAATATATTAAAATGAAATATCATTTTTGTTTATTTGTAATAACGTAATATTAACAGTTTTCATTACACTAAGCATTTTTTGCCAAATATCACACGAGAATGATCTCATGTTACTAAAACAAATTATTAAACAAAATTATTTAAAAAAATCAACAAATGAAGTGATCGTAGTGACATAATGTTCTGTTCATAAATTTCCATCAAGTGGCATATAGGTAATTTGTTATGAAGGCACAGATGTTTTTAGTATGCATATGTTATGCATGTATGTGTGGATTTTCTTTGTAACTTCAAAGGATGACACCTTCTTTTCTTACTCTTCCCCATCAATTTCTTTAAGGTCAGGTACCCTTGCCAGCAAACATGCCAATTGCCACAATTAATCATAGCTCATGTGGTAACCTGTCATTCACAGCTTGTCGTTGCATTATGATGACATACAGGTACATAAACACCGAGATAAGGTCTGAGAGGCCCACAAAGTAATTTTAAAATTAATTTACTTACCAAAATAGCACAATCAAACACATTTAGAGCCATTGATCTCGAAGGTACAAGTATAATGCGCAAGAGAGAGAAGTAATTTAAAAAAATACCTTCTCTAGGCCTGAAAGGCCCCACATCAGTAGTTAAAGGTTAACAAAATATTCATATCTGTATGTGACACCCGGATCTAAAGTCATTATTCTTTCATGAAACCTAATTTAGCAAGTAATTTTATGTTTAGAATCCATAAAGTTTGGTTCAAGTATTTAAAAATAAAATTCCGATCTACAAACTGTATGAAATTATGAAATGTACTACATTTGCAATAATAATGAAATATTAAGTAGTAATGTAAATGTTTGGATTTGTTTTGTTTCATTTACATTATAAACATATTAAATATTAACCACAACTCCTTGACTTAAAAAAATACCCAAATGGAGTATCTCATCACAATGTCACTATAAATAAATGTTTCTTTTTTGTTATGTCTGGTAAACTGATACTGGATATGTGTACAATAATGGTTAAGTAGGCACTCAACTTACAATTAACAAATCTAAACAAATCGAGTATTAACAACAAAACTATAAAATAGTAATTATGATTACTTATACTTTGTTCACTTGAACGCACCCAGACTCTAAATATTATTAATATGCATCGAGATATACCACAATTTTACAAGTACACTATCTACAAAAAGTTCATTAAATTGCACAATGATTGACTTCTCATTTCATTACATTTCAGTTTCTGAAATTCACAAAACTTTAATGTGGAATAAATTACACTGCATATGTTTTTGGCTAGACTTATTAACTGAAACAATAATGGTTTATCAAAGGTACCTAGGTAGCGAGGTAGCTACGTAGTTTGTTCTACACCGATAGATATAAAATCACAATATAAACGAAATACTGCAATCAAATCAAACCATAATATTACTCGATGTACCTATCCTTTTAATCTGTGATCCATAAGCACGTCGCGTAAAGAAATCCAACGGATTGAAACGAAACACACAATCCAAGAGTCAAGGTGGCAGGTAGGTAGGAACAGAATTACCATACGTTTTCAATAAAAAGGAATAGTTTCGCGATTTATACATATTTGAATATTATTATAAATGTTGGATCATAACGAAATTGCATCAAGTAAGGAATTAGAGTATAATTACCTAAATGCCAAGTGATTCAATATCAAACGCACGCACGGGGACAGCAATATGGCGCCGGAGGTAATGTGAATTGTGAAGTATGAGATATTTTTTTTTAAGATCTATCATAATGTTGCTATATATAAAACAGTATGAACGTATTCGGTGTAATGTAGTTCGAAAATTAGTAACATTTTAATCTCACAACAAATATGAACAATTAAGTGAAAATAAATGTCTCAAAGTTTTGTAGTATTTGTCACGAATAAAATTTGGAAACTTTTAAAATTTTGCGTAAACGCGGTTAGCGTAATGGTGTGTAATGCTCGAACCTTCTTTGTGTAAGATGTACTTGCATTTGCTCATCAGTGGTAGCCACATAATTGTGATCGAAATTAATGCACAGGCGTTTAAGATAATACGATGTAATTTGGTATGTACCTGCTAAGAATAATTTAAGGTATTCATTATGTATTCATTGCATTAGAAGTTTGATTTTAACCGTTATTCCAGCTTGGATAATTTTTAGTTGAATTACCAAATAATTATACTATTTTTTTTTCTGATATTTTTATAAAATGATACTATTTTACCATTTAAACAGATCTTAATTTAAAAATAAATTCAATCACTAAAAATTATAATATGATACGCCTGTCCAAGTAGAAGAATACATTTGTTTCGTTTCCATTCTACAACTGTCAACGCTTAATTAGTAAGTTTGCCACTACTCTACTATACTCTTGTAGAGTATACTCTAGTACATTCTTTGACTATGGCAGCTCGGCTGCTAAATTGTGACACCTAATCTAATATTTAATAGGTAGATCCAAAGAGTATAATAAGTATAGGGGTAGGTAGATCTATGGGCAGCCCTCGTTGCACACCACATGCTCACCACTGATATGATATTATATATCTATGTTGCACACCAACACTCGGAACAATAACTAAAGCAGTTATTGTTCCGAGCACCAACAATAACCAACAAATAGAACTTAAT